AATTTCCATTGGTTTGACGGGGAGCGGTCAAATTGGTGGCTCTGTGTGTTAAAGCGGGTTAGGATTTTGTTATATCACTGTACTTTTCACATTCATGTACTTTTGGTCTCTGTCACATCTTTAGATCAGCTTTTTCAGACAAAAAAGTAAATTAGAGAGAGCCACACTCACTCAGCCAATTAGCTCTCAGCAGCCTAAACTGTCAAACAGTGACTCACATGGCTCTATGTTCTAAAATTAGATGAAGACAGAGTGTTCATTCTGTTACGGTAAACAACATGTACTATTTATGACGCAAAAAGGTTAGGTACACCAGCTTTAATTGTTTAGCTGTGAAGTGTGAGTCTAAAATATCTACCACTCCATTGGTGTTTGCATGTTCTCCCTATGTCTGTGTAAGTTGCCTCTGTGTGCTTATTTACAATAGTTCAGGGTGAATGAGTGTGTGTTTGTGAGTGCGAGTGTGGGACTCCAGAGAGTATTTTATAAATTGCTGTGTATAGAAATTCTTGAGTTTTTACTGTTAGTGAACACAACCTGAGCCCGGCCGAGTCCTGGTTCAAACCTGGTTGGTAATCTGGTCTCATAAAATAAACACCAGGATCAGAGATTGCGAGAAAGCACAGATTTGTTCTGCTCAAAATGGTGAGTGTGACACAAATAGATACTGAGCTTGAGGATTTTACTTTTACACGAAAGTCAATTTAGACTTTTGTGTAAAAGACTTTAGAATTTAGATTGGGGCGACAGTAGCTCAGTTGGTAGAGCAATGGTCTTTGGACCTAATGGTCGTGGGTTCGATCCCACTACGACCCATGTCAACTGCTCCCACTGATGTCTGCTGTCGTTGTGTCCCTGGGCAAGACACTTAACCCCAATGTGCCTGAAGTCCCCGCTGAAAGACCAAGGCTGCATCTGTGTCGAAGGAGCAGCCATCTTCCCGTGGACCCACCACCTGCAGGAAGATCAGCAAGGGACTGGTGCTTTGTGAATTGGGTGGCAGTTCTGATTGCAACCCCCCTGACCCAGAAATGGAAAATAAAGGGATGTAAATAAAAAAAAAAAAAAAAAAAAAAAAATGAAACGAAAGTTAATTGGAGACAGAGAGTTGGAGCACATCCCCATTGAGCTTCATTGAGCTAGTGGGTTAGCATTGTCCATTCAGTCCATGGATGTCTCTCACTTCTTCAAATTATACCTCAATATTCAAAATGGCTGCGTCCCAGAGGGGGATCAGAAAGAGAAGAGCTTTTCTGTCCCTTTCATTTCCATTTTCCATAAAAACTCAAACTTGACCTTGGCTTTGAACCCACGGCATCTGCATTTCTCGGTCAGGTTTGAGTTCAAGTCTTGTTTTTCTGTTGCTGAGGCCTCACATAGAGCTGATCAGCGGGACACAGAGTGGCCTTTCAAAAGCCCACACTTCCCGACGGTTTAATCGGACATGACGCCTGCTCTGTACGGTTGTGTCTACGATTTGGACCCATGCCCAGCCTCCCCTGGGGATCTCCCCTGAGGCCCTCCTCCCCGTCTGAAAGTGATAGTGACAGATTGTGATGTGGTGATATCCCACACAAAGGTGCAGTGTCGGTGAGAGCTGAGGCTTAGTTCAGCTGTAATGAGTTTAACACCAGTGGAAAAGTTTGGCTGTCGAAAGTAACTTCACAGACTGAGCTTCCAAACGCTTTGTTTAAATCTGAGGTCAGTCATCTACTTGACCTTTCACCCATGTTCTAATATATCTGAAGGCCACTTAACTTACAAAGTTGACAATTGTCAAACAGAACACAGGAAATACAATAATAACAAACACACAGGAAACATTAGTCCATAGGGAACGGGTTGACCACCGTTCAGAAATGTTAATAAATGTCCATACATGTCCCAGATGATTAATCCTTAGACCTGCATCAGAAAAGAACCATTCAGTCACCGGGTGGAAAAAGGGAGAAACCTCTTGGAGACCCACAGTGAGAGAGGGATCTGCTCCCAGGGACGGGCAGGTTGTAGATCCAGGACGGAGGCTGTAGATCCAGGACGGGCAGGTTGTAGATCCAGGACGGAGGCTGTAGATCCAGGACGGAGGCTGTAGATCCAGGACGGAGGCTATAGATCCAGGACGGGCAGGTTGTAGATCCAGGACGGAGGCTGTAGATCCAGGACGGAGGCTGTAGATCCAGGACGGAGGCTGTAGATCCAGGACGGGCAGGTTGTAGATCCAGGACGGAGGCTGTAGATCCAGGACGGGCAGGTTGTAGATCCAGGACGGAGGCTGTAGATCCAGGACGGAGGCTGTAGATCCAGGACGGGCAGGTTGTAGATCCAGGACGGAGGCTGTAGATCCTTAATTAAGTTGATCTTAAATCACACTGTACAGTAAATAGAGATCAGCTCCGACTCTGAGGCCATGGAGACCGGAAAAAAGTGCCTTGTCCTCTCCAGGAGCAGAGGTCCTTTCTCAAGTGGAGGAGTTCGAGTATCCCTGGTTCTTGTTCACAAGTGAAAAAACATATTGCTTTTTTGTCAAATGAAACCGCAAGAAAGCAAAAACCATCTCACCCTTTTCCAACTGGACACTGGATAAGAGCCATTTGGAGACACCAGCCAGTGACTTTCCCAGACTTTTGTTTCTTGGTCATGGCAACACAAATTTAGGGCAATGTACTTTGTGGCAATAGGAAACTTTAGACAGCACTGTATTTTTTCTGGCAACCCACAAAACTTTAAAACCAGCCTTTGGCCACATATTGTGACTGGTGCTGGTGAATTATGAAAACAGTGAACTTTTTTGTAGACCTCCTAGGAGTATATATACGTGCCTTTGTTCCTGTCCCTGCTCTCTCACATATGGGAGATGTTAGAGTCCTGATAGTTTTAACAGATCCTCAGCAGAGAACCATCTGTGGCACAAGTCGAGAGCAGTACGTTGGTTTGAGCCTGCAGTGTATTGCATCTTCCTGTTTAACCGTCCATTTAATTACTTTGATTCCATTGGATAACTATCACACAACTTTACTGAGAGACCAGAGTCAAATAAGTCTCTCTGGTCTCTCTCATTCTCTCTCTGGTGTCTCTCTGATGTCTCTCCCTCTGGTCTATCTTTGGCCTCTCTATGGTCTCTCTCTGTCTCTGTCTCGGCCTCATCCTGGTCTCTCACTGGTCTCTCTGGTCTGCCTCTGTTCTTTCTCTCTTTCTCTATCTCTGGTCTTTCTCTGGTCTCTTACTGGTCTCAGAATCTGCCATGTTTTCCAATTCCCCCAGGTGTAAAGGTGTAAAGGTCCTCAGGCCAAAGGTTTCTCTCTTCCGCAAATGTTCGAATTCTCCCATAACTTAATCTAGAAAGAGAGACAAGCTAGGACTCGGGAATCTACTTGAACAAAAAAGAAAGAAGAAAAAAAACAGATTTAAAAAACAAACAAACTTGTGATTACTAGTTTTTTTTACCGTTAGTCTCTGTTAATCAATGTTGAAACTCCAGAATGAAACAAAGCAGATACACTGCTCGGCGGGGGCTGTTTCACAGTTGCGTGAAGAAAAAGGTGTGAATTCTCTGCCCGCACATAAATTAGGATGTGCGCAGTAGCCGAGAACAAACGTAAACAACAATGGCGACGGATCAACTAATGCAAACATGTGCTTTGAGCGCTACAAGGAGGGGAATTCCCATTGAAATGGCAACCATCACTAGGGAAACTATCACCATCAACCAACTTTTATCATGACAACGGACAGTCTGGTCAGGGTAACTGTTGCCGTAGCAATGGTTGCCTGGTGACTTTTGCCATAGAAACGGTTGCTATGGTGACTATTGCCATAGCAACAGCTGCCATGGTGATCATTGCCATAGCAACTGTTGCCATGGTGACTATATCCATAGCAACGGTTGCCATGGTGATTGTTGCCATGGGGACTATTGCCATAGCAACGGTTGCCATGGTGATTGTTGCCATAGCAACGGTTGCCATGGTGATTGTTGCCATAGCAAGGTAAAGGTACATTGTAGATTAAACACATGATTGAAATTATCTTTATTTGTCATTTCCAGGAGTTGGTAGGTTAATCCTAGCAATTGGCTGACAAAAATAAACAATAGATTACTTATTTAAATTGGAATTTGATAGTTTACTTTCTTTTCATAGTCAGTAAGGGTAGATTCTATAGACAACAGTTGGAATATCGATCAACATTTTTTGTTAATGCTTAAAGCTGGTTCATAAATAATAGATTTTGTTTTAACAGAGTCTTGTTAAAGAAAAATGCTGTGAACAGATTGGATCTCCCTGTCTTTATCATAATAGAAACCATTTTAACTTTAGCAAAGAGCTGATTGGCTGTGTGAGGATGGTCCTCTCTTTTTCACTACTAGAACTCCCACAACCAGTCTTTTTGACAGCTCTCATTCAAACCAGAAGAATTCTGATGTGTTAAAAGTAAATCATAAGGTTTTTTGTTGTTTTTTTTTTACCTTTACTCACCTTTTACTAAGTGCTAAAACTCGTGAATATAACTTGAAATGAGTTGAAAGACTAACAAATACTAGCAAGTAAACATTATGTTGCTATGGTAACTAGTGGCTCTACTGTGGGAGGTAAAGGTGGAACTACTCTCATTTCATACAAATAATGACTACATGTAGAGACAGAAAAACTCACAAAGTTATGAAGACCGAAAATGTACACACACACTAATTAATCTTACAAAACTAAAGTCTGTCAAATTAAAATCTCTCGGAGTTCTCTTGATGAAACAAACACCTCGCCACCTTGCTGTGTACAACCCTGCTGCAGTGACACGTATAGCCCACCAGGGGGCGTAGTAGCGGTAGTCTGCGTGACCAGGACCGGGGGCGGCTCGCTTTATCCACGGGGGCGTCTCTTCTCCGCGGCGTGACTCTCAAAGCTCAGTCACTCTAGAGTCCAGACAAGACACTTGCACACGGGAATAACCGGGGAAAATGCTCCGGGAGAGGACCAACACGCCGCCGAACCGCGACAAAAGCCATGGTAAGAACGGGTTGACCTCGCTCTGGGTGAAGTTTCTTTGCGGGTGTCGTGAGCGTGGTTCTGGGCAGAGGAGCTGGCAGCACATGGGCTGAAGCAGGTTTGTTGTGGTGGGGGAACACATCAGATAGCGATTGTATTGTGTTGTTTATTTAAAAAGTGAACATAATTACACGCAAAATATTTTTTTTTTTTAGGAACTATTGCAAGGCATTGTAAGAGGGACGTATTTATTGATACTCTTGTTCAATGTCTCTTACGTTACTGTTGACTACGATGTATTTATAGAGTTAATTTATCTGTCTAATTATTTGTCAATAACTCCCTTTAGCAATGAAAACGTTCATCTTAAAGTTAGCGAGCATCAACAACTTATTCGTGACTTGGCTGAGCTAATTTTTCTTATGTGTACTCTACTCTACTCTACTCTACTCTTTTCATAGTGTAGATGTCTATGCATTGAATTACACTTTTTGAGTCTCTTTTCACTTTACTAAAATTAAATTCTTTTGACTAACAGTTGGAATTTTGAACTAACACAAGGTAATTTTGTTAATGCTTAAAGCTGGGGTACCTAACTTGTTTTGTTTCATAAATAATATATTTTTTTTCAATAGAAAGAGTCCTGTAAAAGTTATATGTTGTGAGAAAATCAGATCAAAGCTCCCTGAGAGTCACTATTTGACTATTTGGATCGAGATCTGATTGGCTGAGTGAGGGTTGTCCTCTTTTTCACTTTTCCGTCTGAAAAAGCTGATCTAAAGGTGTGATAGAGGTTAAGAATACATGCATGTGAAAACTAGTCATAGAATCAATTTATTAGAGCCAGGAACTGGTTAGATTAGGTGGATTTTATTACATAAGTCTAATTATTGTGGTTTGAAAGTTAAGTACCTCTGCTTTAAGTGTTTTCTGATTCTTCTGGCTATCCAGTTTAATGTGTTTGTAGTGATATCGGCAGAATTGTGAGAATTATTTTGTTTAAGAAAAGTAAACAAGCCATATGTAGGAGTTTATTCAAGATATTTTTTCTGTTTTTTAATGAGACATTTATAGAGATTGATTTTGAGAGGACTGAGGCTGTAGATCCAGGACTTAACAGGCTCCCAGACTGGAATATTAGTCATCGGCAAATCTTATTTTTTTTATTCAAATCTAGATAAATTATTTATTTTTTATGCAACAACATCATAATCTTGTGCTTTGGAAATATTATCATGTCCTCCAACATGAGATGGATAAGAAATGTGTTCAGCATCATCCGCCTCTGCATTACAACAGCAGTTTCAATACATTCTACAAAACTCTCCCAAAAAATCCAATGTTTTTAAAACGTGCGGCTGCGAAGAGAAACAGTTTTGGTTCGGTTTGTGCCTCATAAACAACATAACTGTAGTGTATTTTGGATTTAAGATCTTGGTGGTTTTGGTTCAAGCTTTGTGTTTGTTTAACCAGGGATCCTCTGTGCTGCTGTTTTTTCTTTGGTCAAATGTCGAGTTAAGTCATACCTTTTTGCCCCTGCAGGTTAAGGTGTCCTGAATTTGACCCATCCTTTTATGCGCCACTAGGGCCTCTGTCAGGAGCAGCGGTTGCTGTAGTAACAGATGTTGATGCTCTTGAGGAGGATTTTACTGATTGTTCACCTTTTCAGTGATAGCAGAAACCGGAGCACCCACAGACTCAGAGTGACCAGGGAGTGACCAGGGAGTGACCAGGGAGTGACCAGGGAGTGACCAGGGAGTGACCTGAGAGTGACCTGAGAGTGACCTGAGAGTGACCAGAGAGTGACCAGAGAGTGACCAGAGAGTGACCAGAGAGTGACCAGAGAGTGACCAGCTGCAGCAGACGGCTTTTTTAGCTAAAGGCTATAAAAGTGGCTATAATTTGGCCTGTCTCGATCCATTCTATGGGTGCCGATTGGAGAAATGACTACCCCTGAAACCCTGTAAAAAAGGCTTTGCTCACAGCCAGGCCGAGCTTTGATTTGTGGGTGTCTGTTCAAACTGCGAACGTCTTTGTCATCATCTTGTACACACTCTTTGGATGCACCGTGCCATGGTTTAGTCTGGGTCTGGTCTGGTCATGGCCTCTGTTGTCTTTATGGTCCAGTGCCTCTGAGAGTTGTGTAGTTTAGTCCCTAAAAACCTGCAATCACATTATTACAGACTGGGTGGAAGACGAAAACTGTCATTTTGTCACAGCAGTTTTACTAAAGTGGTAATGATGTGTGCTGCATGGATTTTCTTCTTGGAGTTTACAAATGATCCAAGGACTAGTGTGATTTAGATATTTGATAAAAGGATTTTGAGAAAAACTAGTACTGTATTTTTAGCACTATTAGGTGCAGATAAACGTTCAATACAAAGTTTTTGGGTATTAGTTTTTTGTGTTCTCACTTAGTCGTACCTGTATTCGAACAACTTTTATTCACTTTTTTTTGTATTTTTGTAAAAAGCGGAAGCGCATGTCCGTTTAGTTAAACAGTCCAGGTGAAACAACACACGTTCCGGGGCTTGTGCGCACTGACGGATCACCACAATTAGCTAGTGTTACAAATACATTTTTTATGGCACCTCCATGGATCTATTATCATAGTCCATAGAGTACGTTACATTCGCCTAATATTATCAAATGGTCAAATGGACTCAAATGGCACTTATGAAGAGACATGCTTACGAAACGGACTGATCCAGGACTGAGGCTGTAGATCCAGGGCTGATGCTGTAGATCCAGGGCTGATGCAGGGCTGATGCTGTAGATCCAGGGCTGAGGCTGTAGATGCAGGGCTGAGGCTGTAGATTCAGGGCTGATGCAGGGCTGATGCTGTAGATCCAGGGCTGATGCTGTAGATCCAGGGCTGATGCTGTAGATCCAGGGCTGAGGCTGTAGATCCAGGGCTGAGGCTGTAGATCCAGGGCTGAGGCTGTAGATCCAGGGCTGAGGCTGTAGATCCAGGGCTGAGGCTGTAGATCCAGGGCTGAGGCTGTAGATCCAGGGCTGAGGCTGTAGATCCAGGGCTGAGGCTGTAGATCCAGGGCTGAGGGTAGATCCAGGGCTGTAGATCCAGGGCTGAGGCTGTAGATCCAGGGCTGAGGCTGTAGATCCAGGGCTGAGGCTGTAGATCCAGGGCTGAGGCTGTAGATCCAGGGCTGATGCTGTAGATCCAGGGCTGATGCTGTAGATCCAGGGCTGAGGCTGTAGATCCAGGGCTGAGGCTGTAGATCCAGGGCTGAGGCTGTAGATCCAGGGCTGAGGCTGTAGATCCAGGGCTGAGGCTGTAGATCCAGGGCTGAGGCTGTAGATCCAGGGCTGAGGCTGTAGATCCAGGGCTGAGGCTGTAGATCCAGGGCTGAGGCTGTAGATCCAGGGCTGAGGCTGTAGATCCAGGGCTGAGGCTGTAGATCCAGGGCTGAGGCTGTAGATCCAGGGCTGAGGCTGTAGATCCAGGGCTGAGGCTGTAGATCCAGGGCTGAGGCTGTAGATCCAGGGCTGAGGCTGTAGATTCAGGGCTGATGCAGGGCTGATGCTGTAGATCCAGGGCTGATGCTGTAGATCCAGGGCTGAGGCTGTAGATCCAGGGCTGAGGCTGTAGATCCAGGGCTGAGGCTGTAGATCCAGGGCTGAGGTTGTAGATCCAGGGCTGAGGTTGTAGATCCAGGGCTGAGGTTGTAGATCCAGGGCTGAGGCTGTAGATCCAGGGCTGAGGCTGTAGATCCAGGGCTGAGGCTGTAGATCCAGGGCTGAGGCTGTAGATCCAGGGCTGAGGCTGTAGATCCAGGGCTGAGGCTGTAGATCCAGGGCTGAGGCTGTAGATCCAGGGCTGAGGCTGTAGATCCAGGCTGAGGCTGTAGATCCAGGCTGTAGATCCAGGGCTGAGGCTGTAGATCCAGGGCTGAGGCTGTAGATCCAGGGCTGAGGCTGTAGATCCAGGGCTGAGGCTGTAGATTCAGGGCTGAGGCTGTAGATTCAGGGCTGAGGCTGTAGATTCAGGGCTGAGGCTGTAGATCCAGGGCTGAGGCTGTAGATCCAGGGCTGAGGCTGTAGATTCAGGGCTGAGGCTGTAGATTCAGGGCTGAGGCTGTAGATCCAGGGCTGAGGCTGTAGATCCAGGGCTGAGGCTGTAGATCCAGGGCTGAGGCTGTAGATCCAGGGCTGAGGCTGTAGATCCAGGACTGTGGCTGTATCCACTGGCTGCCCTCCACTACAGATCGTTTCCTCCCCACATGCATAGCCATAGACAGTAAAATAGAAGTGGACTGACTGAGTTTGACATCACCATAATGTGGGCCTTAATGCAGGAGAGATCAATTTGAACATAAGCTAGCTGGAGCCAATTTCCTTATATGGGCATATGTTTTGACGTTGTGAGCTTTGCGTTGTAACAGTGGCAGACAAGTGTTGATAAGGTTTGCTGGAGTTTCCCCCTCAAATGAAGGAATCTTATTGGTCAAACCTTACATGGACCAGGATCAAAGAGAGGGATTTCTAAAACCCAAAATAGAAGTTAACTTTTAAAAAGTTGATCAAATCAATCTGCCCCATTTTGTCTTCGTCCAATAGTTCAAATGTTCAAGCTTCTTTAGGAAAATATTGAGAATGGCTTTTAAACCTGGCAAAAGAAACCGTCACTTTGTATCTTGAGTTCTGCTGTATAAAAGCGTTATTGGCAAATGTGTGACACTGTTGGCTTTTCTCATCACCAATTACCCCAAAGCCAAACCTCAGGCTCATTATGGTGGCTCTCACAGCTGCTAAACCTCTCCCGCTTGTCCCTGCGGCACATAGTTCAGGCTGGACAGTCTGACAGAGTGATTAGCAGAGTAATTTGTTCGTTTGTATGTCTTTGCTAACTCGGGCCTGGAGCTGTGAAGTGAGACGACCTCAGGGCCACACGAGCCAAAGTTTTATCTCTGTACATTTTTACAAACTTCCTTAAACATGTTTACCCAAACTCTGGGATTTAGACACGTGAACAATGACAAAAATGGATTTATGTGGATTCT